AATTTTTGCAAGGCTGCAAATAAAATTTCCAGTTAACTCTATCAAAAGCTTTTTCTGCATCTAGAGAGAATATTGCAGTTTCAATATTTTTACTGTAAGAATAATCAATTAAATTAAATAATTTAAATAAGTAATTAAATAAGTGTTATTTTATCCAGGAATTTATCAATTTCATTATCTGATGGGTTTATCTGGGGTGAGTATAAAGCTTTATAAAAATCTCTGAAAATGCTGTTTATTCTTTCAGGATCATAAACTGTATTCCCCAGTCAAGTCTTTAACACCATGAATACTTGTTTTTTTCCTTATTTATTTTTAAGCTGTTTTGTTAGAAAGCTACCTGATTTATTGTTCTGTTCAAAGTTTTCTTTTCTGAGTCTTTGTATTAAGAATTGAGTTTTTTTGTTAATAAGTTCATTTAATTCTAATTTTGCTTTACACGTTTTCTCCAGCATGTCTTCATCTTAGGAGGCTTCTAACAATTTAATGGTTTCTTCTAATTCCTGAATATGTTTATTTTCTTTTTTCTTCTTATGTGATAAGAAGGAAGTAGAGTCTCTGATTATTTTACTTCTCATCACTGCTTTCCCTGCCTCCCAGAGAACAGATGCTGATGTTCCAGGCAAGTCATTATACTCCAGATATGAAGCCCACTCTTCTGTAAAATATTTGATCAAATCTTCATCTTCAAGCAATGATATATTAAATCTCCAGTTTATACTTTTTGGGATTTCTTTTCTGTTTGCTAGAGTTAAACAGACAGGAGCATGATCACTGACAGCTATAGGGTGTATCTCAGTGTTCGAGATGTCCATCAACAACAAGCTGCTGACTAAAAAATAATCTAGCTGAGAGTAAGAGTGATGGACAGGTGAGAAGAAAGTATACTCCCTACGGTTCGGGTGAAGAGATCGCCATGTATCGCAAAGTCCATAATCACTCATGTACTGTTTAACTATATTTATGGACTGCCAACAGTGCTGAGTTCCTACTCTACTACATCTGTCTAATTCTTCATTTAAACCAAAGTTGAGGTCACCTCCAAGTATAAGTGAGCAATCCAAGTGATCAGACAATGCTGAGAAAAAATCATGAAAAAAAGAGGTGTCATCAACATTTGGGGCATATATGCTGACAATACACAGCTTGTAGTTATTTATACAAAGTTTTATTATTAAATATCTACCCTCTGGGTCTGTAACTGTGTCTAGTACTGTAAAATTAACATTTTTGTGTATTAATATTGCCATTCCCCTTTGTCTTGAGTTATAGCAGGCACAAAACACATCAGGAAAGTCAGGTGATTTAAGATCATCTGCAGTTGTAATAGATTTATGAGTCTCTTGTAAAAATACAACATTTGCCTGTAATCTTTTAAGCTGGTTTAAAATTCCCAATCGTTTTTGCTGAGTACTGGTTCCATTGACATTCCAAGTCACAAACCTTAATCAGTCAGAGAGTCAGAGTCAGAGATTCTTTATTGTCATTCGCACCTCATGTGGTACATGTGGTGGAGCGAAATTATGTACACAGGGTCCCAGTTACATCCAACAATAAAATGTATAAGAAAAACAGTAATAACATCTAAGAAATGAACTAAGAAAAACATCAACTAAATATACACTAAGCACTCATAACATAAAAACATTGAACATCAGCACAAACATGAAC